TATATATATATATTTATATATTCATATATATACTTATATAATATATATATATATAATATGTTCACGAAGTGTCCATTGAAGAAGTCGATTGAAGTTCGCACCCCGAATCACGTTATTTGCTAACTCATTTCCAGAACTTCATCCTTTTCAAGAGAAGCGGACGATGATATTATCACGAGCATTCAAGTACTTTCGACGTGGTCGTCGGGTCGTGTGACAAACATTTTTGTAGCGCCTCGGGTGCCAAAAATTTCTTTAATCTTACGGACCCATACAATTAGTTGCCTGATTAATGTTGTGTATTCGTGCGCTGAATGGATTGTGCACTATTGTAATGGTGAGAACGTCGGGACAATCTAGTATTACTTATACATGAACCTAAGGCTGTCTATATCTAGATTAATATATTACTAAAATATTTACTGATTGAGAGTGCTGGATTGTGTCTCAAATTGAAATTGTTGGTCCTGCACCATTCTTATAGCGCCACATACCGACTTACGATATTTAGGTATTACGACAAACTCTTTCAAACTAGATTGACGAACGTATTATTACTAGCGACTTACGGTATAAAAGGTATTACGACAAGCTCTTTCTTACTCGTGCTCATACTTTAGAAATTGATTTATTCTGCACTCGAATTGGTGCTTGTTATATGGTTTTTTACTAAAAAGCACTCTTGATTAGGCCTGTAACCAGTTCCTGCATGTCCTTTGCCGTCTTATTAGCGGCTCCCAACACCTCGTCGTGTGTGGGTATATCGTGGCTGTCACGGCGAGTGATTACACAGTTGGTGACAAGGGTAAGCCCTACACATCGCATACCGCAGTGATGTGCGATCACGGCCTCAGGTGCGGTCGACATACCGACAGCGTCGGAGAAGGTGGCTAACATTCTCGCTTCAGCGGGCGTTTCATAGCAAGGTCCACTGTTGTACATGTATGTTCCTCTATGCATGACCTGGAACATGAGAAGTTGCGTAAATAGTTATTAAAGACTGAAACTGATTTATTCCTGATATCAAGCTTATGTATGTTGGCACAGACATTAATCTTAAGTTCGATACTTTAGATTTTGTGGGCAAAATCAAGTATGCGGATTCAAATGACTGGGCATAATGCGTGTGTTGTTGCGAGCGAGGTTCATTAGGTACTCCACTCCACTATTGTATATAATATGAATAATTCCGAACACACGTACACGATAGCGGAAATGAACAACGCATCAATGTACATCGACTACAGATCGCAGGCGCCTCCAAATTATTCCGTACCTTCGAAATACCAAGCTCCTGCGCAACCTCGTCAAGAGTATCAAGCAATTCCTCAGTGTAACACTGTCCGGTGGCGGGGAAACGGGGGCCCCAGCGGGCGTCATTAGGGCCTCTGAGGGGATTGTTTCCAGCGTTACCTACCCAATTGATGTGATCCTCGATGGCCATGATATCGCCTACGTTGTACTTTGGGTTCAAACCTCCGGCAGCGTTTGTAACTACAAGCAGCTCTGCGCCCATAAGTTTGGCTACACGGACGGGAAGGGTTACAGCGTACTGACTGTAGCCTTCGTACCAGTGGAATCGGCCACGCATGCACATTACCACGGTATCTCCGATCTTACCGAATACGGCCTCTCCAGCATGTCCTTCGACTAAGTAATTTAATGAGAAAATGATGCAAGTGAAGCTGAATAAAGCGATGGACAAACAATACTGCGAGGTAAAGAAAAAATGTTCAAACCTATCTCTGACTATTAACAAAGATAAGGTCATCACGCAACAGAAGGAGTGAGAAGTAAGGCATATACAATATGATGTTGTTCTGTGTGCCTAGCGCACAGAACAACAACTATAGTCCTGTGACAAACAATGACAACATATATATAGAAGCATACCGGTACTGACGGGGAAGTGAGGGATGTCTGTATAGCTGATTGCAATCTGATCTGAAAGAGTTTTGGATAGATGTTGTAAACCAGAACCGCAGATAATCAGTACGGAGGGCTTGCCTAGTGATTTTACCTTCTCCAAAAGATTGTCTGCGATCTCCTGGACAAGTTCGTAGGTGTAAGGGTTCACTTCCTGATGAGATGTCATGCTGGCTATAGTATTGGTAAACCGTTGGTTGTTGAGACTTAGAGATTGAGTCGAATATGATGAGTGGGCGTATCCTGCGGCTTCTTTATATATCGGCTTGTGTCTACAATTTTATCGACGTTGTACATAGTTGTTGTTGTTGTTTACTTATTTTGCCCTTTTTGCTTTATCTGCTTTTAGAAAATAGGAGCTGATAAACGATAAATATCCTAATAAGGTAATTTCTCATGTTTATGCTTTTTTATACTTTTGTTTAAAAAAAACACATGGTCCAATAGAAGGTCAAGGAACGTGAGGAATTATGTGGGCATCGGCAGAACCCGAGAACCGACGTGAGCGTTGGCCGTTGAGAAGATTTGAGTCTTGAGACGTGAGAACTGAGAGTTTAGAGACAATACTCTAAATAAAATATTGTATTTCTTTTTAAATTTTTATTACTATAGAGTGAACTGTGGTCTAGTTAAATAAATATTTACCGGAGAAGCTTGAACGTCAGAACGGAGACAAGGGGGTATTTTTGGTACTGAGTATAGATTAAAAAAAAGAAAAAGAAACTAAATTGACCAGTCCTCACTGTCTCCCCAGGCCCCACTCCCAGTCAGACTGTCAAGTGTCAGGCAGTCACATTGTCTGATTGTCCCAACTCCCCAGAGGCCCAGAGTCCAGACCCCAATCCCCACTCAACTCCTGACCTCGCAGCTCATATGAGTTATTTTACAACAACAACAACAATTTGATCTCGTAGCCTTCTTCTAAAAATTAGACAACACACAGTCACAGTGTCACACACACACCAGTCAGGCAGTCACAATGTTCAAAATCAAACTGTGAGAGTGCGAGAGACGGAGATAAATATTTAGAGAGAGAGCGAGAGAGAACTCAGAGGAGTCTCTGGGAGAGTTGAGTCACAGAGAGGGTCAGTGTTAGACTGTTTTAGGAATAGTCAGAGACGAGTACCGTAACCGAGACGGTGTGACGGTGTGAGCGAGCGAGAGTTAGCTGACTGAGAGTGAGCGAGAGCGAGAGAAGAGATTTCTCTGAGACTACTAGTCTTGACTTGAGTCGGAGAGACTGAGACTCTGAGACGAGTCTGGGACTGTGAGACTGTGAGTCCTACTGCTACTGCATGTTTACATATAAAATTAGGTCTTGTTTTATATATAAAAAATTACAACAAAAAAAACAAAAAAACAAAAAAATACCGCCTCACAACCGCAACTTATTATTACTCGGTCTGAAATTCTGAAAGTAAATAGAATCCGATGGCGGGAATACACACGTGAACGAACCACTGAACCTCGGTGTAAATAAATAAACATGAGCGGATCCCAGGAGAATATGTAGGATGGATACGTAGTGTTTAATATCATACTGATTAATTAAAGGTATCGTGCACAAGCAGTGGGCATACATACAGCCATAGTCGAACATGCCACCCAAAAAGAAAGTTGAAGCGGCAGCAGTCTCCGGGGCAGCTCGCTTCGGCCGAGTGAAGAATTCTTTGAAGTTCGGTCTGGTATGTGTTAGCAGATATGGAAGCCAGTTCAAGGCTATCTATCGTAAATGTACTGTATCCATAGATGTCTGATTCTACTAAACAGAGTTGGTATGGTTATTAACAAATTTTTTTCTCGTGGTGATGACATTGCTCTTCGATGGACAGTTTGCGTGTTAGACGCAAACACCTTCCAGACACAGGGCCCATTGAAGAGCAACATACGTGTATGTAAATACACACACACACGCATACACATATGTGCACACCCACACCCACTCACCCACCCACACCCACTCACCCACCCACCCACACACACCCACACACACACACACACACACACACACACATATATATATATATACATACACATACACACACACTACACACTACACACACATATAGCATACGCACACACACACACATATATACATGTATACATATATATACACTTACACATACTTATGTTTATATAAGTGTGTGCGTGTGTTTTGGGTTATTGTTTAGACGTGCCTTGTTTGCGATGCGAGTGTTCTTTTGTTACTTTGCTTGCGCTTGAGTACATATACTGCAGAAACACGTACAGTGAGGTGTATATTCTGTTTTTCTCCTACAAGTGGGGCATTTTAGGGCTCTTAGTGGGCGAGAAAACGCTATGGATTTCCTTAACAGTTATTTGATCCATTCTTGTGCATTTGTAGCCAAAGGTACCCTTACCCGATGGAGTGTATGCTCGGCACTTTTGTATTCCGGATATGGTAAACACCACTGTTTCCCACAGGATGTAGTATATGTATAGTCATACATAACTCCTCACTTTTCACCTGTCTACACCATCTACGCAAGATTCCTTTGAGCTGAGCCTACTCAATACAATACCAGGATCGTATCACTATGTCCTGCTAGCACCAGCATCCCCCCCCATTTTATCTTTAGAGGGTTTTCCGTTCACATACAACGAAACATTTCATCTGGTGCGTTCAGGTGGGACTCCCGAATGTGGGCAAATCGTCCCTGTTCAATCTGCTAACTGCGCAGAATGCGGAAGCCGCGAACTATCCCTTCTGCACGATCGAACGTATGTTATCGTAGCGTCGTGTGCGCATACGCATGCGGCATGATTGTACTTTACGCGTGGCCATGCCATTCACATAGCTACGCATGGTCATACCGTTCACATAGCGTTTCATAGCCCTGTCAATCCACAGAATATGTGCGTTGCGGTTTGGTTTAGTGTGAACGTATTGGAGTCAAATCAGTTACATCTCTGATTGCACAATGAAGGCGGACTTTCTGGGTAGCCTACACGAGCGTTTGTTCAGCGATGTTGTCTTCGCGTGTCATCCTGTTATTTGGATGTACTTCGTAGTGCAATACTATGGGCAGGGCACCCGCATGTGTGTTACGAGAGCCTGGTCTATACCATCTGTAATGTGAGGCTTGGAATTATTCGCATTCAGTCGACGACCCTAAAACCCTAAAACCTTAAAAACCTAAAACATGGTTTCTGGAGTCTCTGATCTTCTGCTGCGATCTCCGTTGCTTTGTTTTCCATTCACATAGTCCTATGCACAGTGACAATGTCTACACAACCACATATCCAGCGAACGGATGAGCAACGCCAATCCCACCATACCGCCAGGACTCCTTTGCCAGTTGCGCTGGCTGCTCTAATCTTTATTCCGTTCCATATTATTACTTCTCAATCCGTTAGTTGTACTAACGGGTCCAGCTTACTGATTGTTGTCTGAACAAGGCCGGGTTTGTATGTTCAGTGAACGGCTTGGGATGCCGATTGGCATACGCGTATGCTGCGGTGTACAATCTGCAGTGAATAAATGAACGCACAGTGTTTTGAAATACATCTTCTCTCTTCCAATCACACAGCCAATGAGTCACGGTGTGCCGTGCCTGATGACCGATACGACTACCTGTGCAGCATCTGGAAGCCTCGTACGTTGAGACTAGTTTGCGCTCTGGAGTGATATTATTCTAGTATGATTGCACGTGAGGGAACCTAAGTTGACACCAACTTGCACTCTCCAAGCTCACGCATGTTTAGACAGGATGTAGTATGCGTTGATGTTTGTGTACATCGAGGTTATAGCGTAGTGTGTGGCGTTATGGTGGTGTAAAAACTAGAGAGAGTATTAACACTCAAGGACGAATGCCCAGCGCGTGTAAATCCACCAGTTTGTAATCTGCTAGAAGTAGTCATACTACTTCTTATGGGTCTGTGTTAGGGTAGGTAAACGTACTAAGCTTGTAGTAGAACACATGGTGCCGATCCGATAACAAGTGCAGAATTCATATGCAATCGTAAATATGCCCGTGACCATGTAGCCTCATACCTGTTAAGTTGCGTGTTGTAACCCCATCCAATCGTCCGTCTCAGAGTTCATCTCATGGTGTCATATACAGCATCCGAGTACCCAGCCTACCTGCAGATCACCGACATTGCCGGCCTAGTGAAGGTATGGTGGGGATTCACAGTCGCTTTTTAATTGGGGGCGAGCGGTATCTCGCACAGACAGAACTCAGTACCACATACCGCCCCTCATGAAACGTGCCTAATGTACGCAACACGAACCCACACCCATAACAACGGACCAATCAACAGGCCAGAGACCTGAGTCCTCGTATGACACCTGCGAAATGTCAAGGATTCTATCACCCGGTCGCTACCCTCACAGACCGAGACTCACGTTAACGAACCGATGTTTGTCTGATTCTGTATTGTAACAGGGTGCCTCCGAAGGTAAGGGGCTGGGTAATGCCTTCTTATCGCATATCCAAGCGGTTGATGGCTACTTCCATATTGTGCGTGCGTTTGAAGATCCAGATGTCACACATGTAGACGATGGAATCGACCCAATCCGTGATGCCGAGGTATGTGTGTCGGGGCTTGTATGGGATCATGAAACATGCCTGCGTTATCTCATTGCACATGGTGCCATAATCGTAGGACGTATCAGCCAGTGTGTGCAAGGGCAGACGCATGTGTATGTACATAAGTGATGCAGAGTGCTTGCTTGCAAACCTACCGGTTGTGTACAGTAAACAGTTCGAGTGCCGAGTCTTTATGGAAGTATCTGATTCCATGGCTGTCCTGGTATACTTCAGATGTGTGGTTAGGAACGAACCCCCATGCCCCAACTCACAGCTCCCACACAACGCAACAGTATTGGCCACAGTTAGTGTGCTAGCGTGAGCATGCATAATGCGTTAGTGCGTATGCTATAGACTACCGTAGACCAATGGCGATGCCATGTGATGAGCTATTGAATGGATGAAAGTTCGGGACAATTCAATTGCCGCGTTCGTACTTTCTGTGTCAGATGCGTATTGAAGACCTGATATGTGGGTATGCTATGCCACATACATATGCCTGGCCTTTATGTCTCTGCTGGTGCACCTATATATGTCCCTCTGAATCTTCTGTCGAGGTGGTTACATAGCTAGCTGTTCCTAAGCACTGCAGTGACCATTTACGGATTGCAAGTAGGTTGGTGTATGCGCGCGTGTGCATGCGGGGCTCCGAGGCAGTGTATGGCTAATACCAACCTTCGCATGATAAAAAACGCGGGTGGGCACTTACTGTCAATCTGGTTGCGCGCGGCTATCGCTTGTTGGACGCCCGGCGATAGAATTGCAAGCCACACATTTCATAGTCAAAACTTTACATCACACAGGTTTAGCATGGTTACACCACTCATCGATGGAATTGCAAGCGTGCAGGCGCCACATATTTCATAGTCAAAACTTTACACAACACAGGTTTAGCATGGTTACACCACACCACTCACGACGATTCGGCATACAAAAGTAGAACTTATGCGCACTTTATGGTTTGCTGCCGAAAATATGATACTGATTTACATATAGACACACTAATCCGGCTGTTCAAAATGAGGATTAGGTTTTTGGGCCTACCATGCAGTTTGCTAAATGTTTTGTTGTCGGTATATACATTTGGGAATATCCACCAGACCATTCAGCATGAGCTGTGTCTCAAGGATCTTGATGCGTTGTCTAAGGCCTACAAGGCAGAGAAAGGTTCAAAATATGGGTTAGGTTTTTGGGCCAATCTTACAGTTATGATGCTAATTATTTTGTTGTCGATATACATTTGGGAATATCCACCAGACCATTCAACATGAGCTGTGTCTCAAGGATCTGGATGCGCTGTCTAAGGCCTACAAGGCAGAGGAAGTGGATGTCAAGAAGACTCAGGGCAGCAAGCTGTCACAGTTGTTCATTGACACCATGGAGAAGGTTAAGGTGATGCTTGAAAAGGATATCCCAGGTATGTGAATACATATCTATGTTGGAATATATAATGCTCTGTTCCTGTACGTTCTATTTGGAAGTAGTGTGATAGATTTCGAACATGTAGTACACATTTACAGTTTGTCCGTTCTACTGCGCCGCCACAATAATTGTCTTGACTTGTGATTCAATCACACAAAAAGTAAATATGTTAGAGCGCGACAGTTTTGCGTTTGGAGGGCATTCGTACACATACACAGTGGGAAGCGTGTCTGATATAATCCTATTGTGATGGAAAACTTATATTCACTTCTGAACATGCATCTCTATAGATAGATATTCGGAAGTGGTTGTTCACGCATTTAAACCATAGCCGTGCTACACACACACACACACACACACACACACACACACACATAATATATATATATATACACACACACACACACACATATATAAATATAAATAACTTCCAATATACATATCCCTTTCGTCTTTGCTGTGTCCCGCCAATCCTCTACCATTAGTCAGAGACGGTGAGTGGTCGTCGCCTGAGGTGGATATGATCAAGCGTAAGCTGCACACACTCATCACCACAAAGCCATGCATTTACTTGGTCAACCTGAGTGCCAAGGATTACATTCGCAAGAAGAACAAATGGCTGGTCAAGCTACACCAGTGGATCCAGGTGAGGTGGTAGCACATGCATGTAGCGTTCTAGAATGGTAGTAATGGGGGAGCATGGTGTAACAGCTGGGATTTGCTGAGGTTTGGCTGTAGGTATATGTGAGCTTACATTGGTATTGGTGTGCGATGCAGTTGAGAACAGAATAGCACAGCCACACACAGACATAGTATTGCGTGCTCTACTCTAACCGTGTATGTATTTCCATTACGTTAACTGTAAGACATACTATTGCGTGCTCTATTGTAACCGTGTATGTATTTCCATTACGTTAACTGTAAGACATACTATTGCGTGCTCTACTCTAACCGTGTATGTATTTTCTTCACGTTAACTGTAAGACATAGTATTGCGTGCTCTACTCTAACCGTGTATGTATTTCCTTCACGTTAACCGTAAGACATAGTATTGCGTGCTCTATTCTAACCGTGTATGTACTTCCATTACGTTAACTGTAAGACATACTATTGCGTACTCTACTCTAACCGTGTATGTATTTCCATTTCGTTAACTGTACGACATTATATTGCGTGCTCTACTCTAACCGTGTATGTACATTACATTAACTGTACGCTTGGGTGCACGGCGGAGGTTAGTTGATTTCGTTCTCTGTTGATCTGATATGTTTACGGCACTATACACATCGTGTGTAGATGGAATACATATAAACATCTATATGCACACTATGTTGAACTGTTATGGTTATGGCACTATACACATCATGTGTAGATAGAATATATATATACATCTATATGCACAGTGATGCATATACTCCCAAGGACTGACCTATTTGTGTATGGACAACGTTCAGAAACACGGTAGAGGCCAAATGATCCTGTTCAGAGAAGGAAGCAGCTAGGACCTGTGATGTCACAAATGAAGATTTATTGTATCCATGTTTAGCGATGGACATGTCATGTTCACATGAATGGAGGTATATTGCGCCTATGTTAAAAATGAAGATATATTATACCTATGTTTAGAATGAAGATATATTATACCCACGTTTAAAATGAAGATATATTATACCTATGTTTAGAATGAAGATATATTGTACCAATGTTTAGAATGAAGATATATTATACAAATGTTTAGATTGAAGATATATTATGTTTAGCGATGGACATGTCATGTCCACATGAACTAATATCTCCATTCATATGGACCATACACGCAGGCGCACGGGGGAGGTCAGATGATTCCGTTCAGCGTAGAATACGAACAAGAGCTTTGGGATCTGCGTGACGATGCGACAGCACTGGCCGAACAGGAGAAGGTCGCCAAGTCAGTGCTGCCCAAGGCCATAGTAAACGCCTACCACGAGCTCAACCTGATCCATTTTTTCACAGCAGGTGTGTTCGTAGTGTAGCTGGGTGTAGCCGTGGGGTGTTTAGTGCGCATGCAGAATCAGTGCTAGTTCACCGTATGAAAGGCCTTAGTTTGCTGGCAGAGGTTGAGAGACGACGGCACTGCGGGTACGAGAATACAGGTTGTGCACTTGTTGCTAGGCAACCCACGTTGCTTGGTTGTTAATTTCGCGTTGTTGTGTGTCAGGGTGCGAGAATACAGGTCGTGCACTTGTTGCTAGGCAACCCACGTTGCTTGGTTGTTAATTTCGCGTTGTTGTGTATCAGGGTGCGAGAATACAGGTTGTGCACTTGTTGCTAGGCAACCCACGTTGCTTGGTTGCTAATTTCGCGTTGTTGTGTATCAGGATGCGAGAATGCAGGCTGTACACTTGTTGCTAGGCAACAACCCACGTTGCTTGGTTGTTAATTCCGCGTTGTTGTGTATACGCCAGGTGAGAAAGAGGTGCGCTGCTGGACCGTGTACGGGGGTGCTGCTGCCCCTGCGGCTGCTGGTGTTATCCACACCGACTTTGAACGCGGCTTCATCAAAGCGGAGGTATGTTCGACGTAACGGGTTGGGTTGGGTATGCAGGATCACACGTGCCTGTGTTGACTGTTGCGTGTCTGTTTTGCAAGGGTTGCCGGTGTTTTGGTTGCCATAGCGATGGTCTATAAAGTGAACCAGGAACTCACGCTACAGGGCCGGTCCTAACTGTATCCGCACCGGTGCATCCCGCACGTGCGTAGAGAAGGAGAGCTTCACACAGCCAATCATACGGTCGTTGTTAGCGCTGGTATTTCTTTTCAGGGGCAGAATATATGAGAGTGACATACACAGCTTGTGGAGAGATATGCGCGTGTATAAGCGCATAGCAGGTTGCTTAGCAACCTCGCCAGTCCAAATATGGAGGCTTGATGAAATAGACTATTCTTTCACTATAATTATGTTGGGAGGCCAGCGAAGATACTCCATTCATCGCAGATTAAGTCAAGGCCGTACTTGTTAGATATGTATGCATATGTATTCCATTCATCGCAGATTAAGTCAAGGCCGTACTTGTTAGATATGTATGCATATGTATTCCATTCATCGCAGATCAAGACACCGTACTTGTTAGATATGTATGCATATGTATTCCATTCATCGCAAATTAAGTCAAAGCCGTACGTGTTAGATATGTATGCATATTCCATTCATCACAGATCAAGACACCGTACTTGAGTTCTTTTCAACCACCACACGCAGCATGATATGATAGACAGCATTTATTACTTTATTGATCCCAATCTCGTAGGCTGTGAGCATGATATGACAGAGCATCTAATGCTTTATTTACCCCAATCTCGTGGGTTGTGAGGATGATATGACAGATAGCATCTATATGACAGACAGCATCTAATACTTTATTTAACCCAATCTCGTAGGTTGTGAGCATGATATGACAGACAGCATCTATTACTTTATTTAACCCAATCTCGTAGGTTGTGAGCTTCGAGGATTTCAAAGAGCTCAACACCGGCAAGGGCATGGTGGCTATCAAAGAGGCAGGCAAGTACAAGCAAGAAGGCAAGCAGTACATTGTGCAGGACGGCGACATCATCCATTTCCAATTCAACGTAACCACCCAGAAGAAGAAATAAAGAACGGAACCACCCACAAGAAGAAATAAAGAACCGTCTGTAGGGTGGGTGCATTGATACACACGCACCCGTGCGGTTGTACGTCTGGTCAGACTGAGTGATTATCTACCAGCGGATGCTAGTCAATGACTTCATACGACTGGTATTTCTAATAGTCTTATGCGAGTACTACGCGTTGTAGATGTAGGTGTAGGTGTAGGTGCACCTCGCTACTTAAAAGTACTTGTACGGAACTACCGATGTATGTGCAGCCCTGCTCATCACGGAACAGTTTGAAGGTATCATCAATTGGGGATGTGGTGTGTTTGGCTATGCCCGATATGTCTCTAGAATACATGTAGGAGGTGTTGCTATGTTATAGTGCTGGGGCGCTCTTACTGTCTTATCGGATGTGTTACTATGGCAACAGTGCATCTATTCCTCACGCAGCTTGCTGTGCAAATGAGCCGCCGAAGGTGTGTGGTGCAACTATGGTGCAATGTACGGTCATCCTTATACCTCTCGCAATGGAACACAAGTCTGGTAGCCTTGTCGCATGCACTGTGCACGGACCCGATAGTATCAGGACATCTTGGTAGTGGGGTTTTCATCGCTCATGGGAGTACTAACAGAGTTTTTCCGGGTGTGTAAAACCCCGCTGCACCACATTCCGTTTGCAGACAGTGACCGCCTATCAGCCTCCTTGCTTGCGGCATGCATAACGAGCACGTGTGGACCAATAAATCAGACGCTAGTTTTTAAACTGCCCCGCCATTTTATTAACGTGCGAATGACTTGCTTTAGTTATTCACATGCATCTGCAAGCCCCTCCTATTTATTAACGTGCAAACGACATACCTTTGTTATTCACATGCATCTGCACCAAGGTCCATGACACATGCTGCGGGAGTACGTTCAAATAAAAGTATCAAGCTCGTTACAAAAAAAAATCAAAAGCGCAGGCGGAACTAGCTCTAGCATGCGGGTGTACGTCACTTTACATTGATATATGCCTATCTCTATAGGGTTTATCGTATATGAAGGAACGGTTGGGGTTTAAACGATTTGCGGTCGTTGTATACGATAGCCATTTGTGGACGTGGATGCATCCCGGGCTTCACAACACGGAGGTTGTTAAAATGTGCCCGAGATCAAAGAACAATATTTCACGTGGTGCAAGAATTTTTATCCAACTTCTGCCAATCTTTGTAGACTAAAAAGGTTATTTATAAACAGACTACACTTATGAACCACTAGCACTACCTCACAATACCATCACACAGTTTGCTGGTTCGAAAGGACGATTACGATCACCGACATGGACCTCAGAGCTTCAGCGTGATGAGGTATCGCGTGCGTACTTGCGACTCCGAATAAACCAAGAACTCGTCCTGGTAGAACGAACTGTCCACCTTAGTGTCCTTGGGTGCAGACTGCGGCACAGTCACCTGTTTCTTCTCCAAAGTTATGGGCTTCCAGCTGCCCGGCGTCATCCTACCCACCGCGTGAACAGAGTCACTTCCGGCCGGAGCAGCGCGGAGTGATGAGTCATCTTTGGTGATCTCGTGTGGCGTACCCAGGGCTGCTTCGGCCAGGAACATACAGGCGTATTTGCTTCCGTAGGCAGACGTGTAACTGCGTGATTTACTATTTTCCGCAGCCAGATAGATGCCTTTCCCTACTCGACCCCCGCTGTGTGGCATGATGCGCAAGCCATTGGTTAAAATGGGTGCCACAACCGCCAGGTTGGTACCGTGCCAGAGGAGTCGTCTGTTGTCCAAGGCATCGAATGCTTTATAACGGGAGCCTTCGCCCTCCCTATCCACAGTCCACACATCAAGCAACTGACTATTACCACTCTTGGTGACATCGAAATACTTCTGGATTGCCCTGTACACATTGCTGTTCGAATCCAAAGGCTTTAGGTCGGCCTTGAGACTGAGGTAGTGCTGATCTGCGGGATGGGGCACAATCTTTTTCGTAGGCTGGTTGACACTGATCTTGTCCATATTCTGCTGTGTCTCGTACATGTCACTGAGTATGTCGCACATGTCGAAGCGCTCCTGCAACTTCACAGCCGTATCGATGACTGGTGGGCGACTACGCCCGAAACTATGAGGTATAGTCGTGTAGAATAAGCTGGATAGCTCAGCGAGGCTTTCTCCGGCCTTTTTACTCGGTTTCGCCAGTCGATCTGATATACGCTGTAAAACATCCACACCTCGCTGAATTTGCTGCTGCGAGGGTACTCCCAGAGGCAACTTTTTTAGATCAAGGTTAAATTCATCGAGAGCGGCATTTCGTACGTCCGATGAAAATAGTGTCTGCACAAGGTCCAAGGTCTTGGCATCTAGTATGCTTGGCATGTATTCGATATCGGAATGTTCGGTTTTCATGGGGGTGTTCTCAGCAGTCTTGTTTGTATCGATTTCGACCGGTTGGTATTTGCCGAATTTCGGTTTGAACTCATCAGCGCCCCACGCATTACCGGTTTTGTCCTTGTATTTCTTGGAAAATGTAACCACAGCGTCTTCAAGTGTTGTCTCCGGGAACCATTTCGAGGTATTGCCCTTCAAAGCTTCTCCCACTCGTCCCCAGCGTGTCCAGACTCCATACTGACCAGATTTCTTGTGCTTATAAATGCTTACTTTGTAATACTTGTTGCTATTAGTGGAGCCAGTGATATCACACTGATTCATGACCGAATCATAGTACTCACCGTCGTCATCCGACACCACCTTGAAGTCTGCTGGCGTCTTACCAGCCACCACCACATCAACATCGACTTGACGGATGTTTCTAGCACTCGCTGCCAATTTTGGCGTAACGGGCTCGGGTTTCGCTGATTTTGGCTTTTTTACACTCTTCTTGACAGGCGTAGCCTTTTGGGTGCAAACCGGTGCAGTACGCGTGTGTTGCGGGGGCAATTTGTCCAAACTGGCGCCAGGTGGCAGTCTTCGGATATGTCTACTGGTGTGATTTGGGTGCACAACGTTTGTTTGTTTCATACGTATGAAGTCGACAGCATATACCCACATTCCAGAACTCACGCTTCGAAGATTGAAGTTCGAATTCATAATCGCCTCGCTGTACAATTGTTCGGTGTTCGTAGCGCCCTGAGGATCGTAGTTGTACCAACCAGTTGATTTTCCATCGATCCCATCATCCACCCAATACTGCCACATAACATTGTATCCCTGTAGCTTCGCATCAAAATTCTGGTGTATGTAGTAGTACTTGCTAGCGATAGGCGGGTCTTCGCGATCAGCCCAACTTAGTCCAGTTTTGGACTTGAATTTGGCATCATAGCTCTTGATAGCCTCCTCGAAATCCGTAAAGGACTCGACAAGCGCCGAACCCGCCGTGCCTGTCCGGCCCCATCGCGTGTAGATAACGATATCGCCATCGTCGGTTCCGTCATCAAGTTCAATCAGCTGGAGTACAAAGTATTTGTCGGTGTTGCTGGTGGCTTCAATGAAGACCAGCATTGCATCGTACGGTTCACCATTGTCATCAACAGCAATATCACCGCTGAGATTGCTAGCTGGATCAACAACCCCTAAGGCCTGGGTCGAGTTTACAGTTCCCTTCAGACCCGTTTTGCGCTTCTTAGTGCTATTCTTGGGTATAAACTTGGCTGCCCTTTTCTGGTTTCGAGGTGTCTGTGGCGCAGCTTTTGTCTTGGTCTTTGGCGCTGCCTTTTTTGCAGGGACCTTCTTCGCCACCACGGGCTCGGGCTCAGCTTTGGGTTTGGGTTTCGCCCGAGTGCTTCTACGCACACTTCCACTCATCATAGTATCAGACAGCTTGCAATAATTTTTTATCGGTCACTTTCCAGAAGTGATCTATAAGCTCGTTAAATAAAGTTAGATATATTTATTCGTCCAGCACAAAAAATGCGTGTTGAAGCGTCCCTGCCGGTGCGTATCAGAGTGTTATGTCTTCGGGGGTTGATGCTACTGCTCGTTTTGTACTCTAATTTCACATACGTTTCAGTTTTATGTAAATTTCACATAATTCCTATTTGAACGCTCGACAATATTTAGTTGACAGTTGTTTGTCCTTGACTTCTTTATTTATTTACCATCTCATGATTACCATCCTTCGTCGCCTTGTCGGCTTTCACAAAGTGTCTCGTTTCTGCACCTTCAACAAGAAGCTCGACAGCAACGTGCAACTTTACCGAGGGCGACACGAATCAGGATTGTGGAAAATGGTAAAACCAAAATTGAATCAATTGAAGTCAGTCAAGTCACTAACTCACTGATACGTACGAGCATTTTTATTGGCCGATCTATGATTTGCGGATATGCTTTTTAAAAAGAAATGGTTATTTTCCTGTTTTTGGAGTCGACTTCAATCTCCAAGTCCAATACGTTTTTTAAAAATACGTATAAATATACTAATATAGAGAGTATATATATCAGCACACTTCGTATTTGTGTGTAACGTTTACCTTGGATTGGTCCTATTTGTTTTACAAGGGCGCAATTTGTTGGATTTGAGGGGCTGTCGTTTTAAGAGCTTTATCATAACACAGACCTGGTTTAGTTCTAAATAGGGCAGACCTATTCTACCCACTTATACCTTATAGCGTTAAACGCATACGCTAATACCAGGACGAAATGTGGCGAGCGGCGCACTGGTGACTGGGCCTGACTGAGGCCACATACGGTCATACGCTCTGCCGAGACTTGTTGTCGTTGAGCGTCTGTGACTGCGAGTCAGTGACTCGGACTGTCTGACAGACTGATCTGTGTGTATTCAGTTTGAATAACTGTCCTATTTTGGTTAAAAAACAAAAACAAAAAAACAAACGTTATAATAAAGATGCAAAGAAAACAACTGTCTGAATTCTAAATATGTACTCGCTTTGGGTGAGTTCTTTTACCAACGCAGGGACAATCGCAGATCCAAGAGGGCATACAGTACACGAGTAGTCACATGCCACACCAGTAGAAGACCACATATGTGATATATATATGTGGTGCCGCAATGTAACAGCAATATGTCAGTACGTACTGATGTCTCAAGCGAATTTACCGATCTGCTCTCCGCTTACTGTACACATACCTGCTGAGATAGGGACCGCTCGAATTATGGCATCAATTCAGCGTATGAGGACACACCTTATAAAAAATATTCTAGTACTATTACCAATTTGACATATCTTCACGTCTAGTGATACGGGTGCACGGTACATACTAGTTCCATATACCCAAATAAGTGTTATATACTAGTTCCATATCCCCAAATAAGTGGGACATACTAGTTCCATATACCCAAATAAGTGTTATATACTAGTTCCATATCCCCAAATAAGTGGGACATACTAGTTCCATATCCCCAAATAAGTGGGACATACTAGTTCCATATCCCCAAATAAGTGGTACATACCAGTTCCATATCCCCAAATATGTCCGATCTTCACTACCAAGACCGGATCTGTACACCACACACTTGGACACTACGCAAACGTTCTGGACGATACTCTCAAGCTAAAATCCAAAATGTGAATATTATGTGTCGCCTTGTTTTATTTGTTCAGCAAAATATCGGCGTGACGCAATCAATGCGAAATGATTATTCGACGCCCATTACAGACTGTACCTGAAAAGTTAAAACCCCCACTAATCCATCTGCCTAATTGTTCATCGGCTGTTAAACGTCTCTACCACAGCCCACATGGGCTCGATCGCCCCGGCACGCTGTTTGATAGTATCGAGAAACGTGCAGAAGGTTAGTGGTTGATAGTACGGTGATGTAGGCCTGTAGACGTATGTCTAGAGCTTAACGATATTGCAACATGCACTAAGTCGAAGAGCAGATACACAGAGCAGCTAAGTTAGCAGCTAATTTTAAAATGAGACGTTCGGTGACGGGTACAGAAATATATACTACACGAATACGTTTTCAATTCATACATACTGCCCATGCAAATGGACATGTGAGAGGAATCGAGGTGAACATATATTCATATGCATTTCCGCATATTATGTTCCGATGATCGAATGTGCTCAAGGATGCTTAATTCGGCTTTCATAAACTGGACGAATTAAAGGGGAAAGCATATCACGCCACAAAGAGTAGTATTGCCCACACGTGCCTTTCCATGGACCGCTTTCAGCACACACACAGCTCACACCACAGCTTATCAGTGCTTCTACCCCTGGATCAACATTTAACAGCTTACCTGTGCTCCGACCTCTGGATCAACATTTAACAGCTTACCTGTGCTTCTACCTCTGGATCAACATTTAACAGCTTACCTGTGCTTCTACCTCTGGATCGACATTTAACAACTCCCGCACGCGGCGCATGGCAATCTCGTAGTCATCGTCCGATAGCGATTTGAAGGCGTTTTCCAGGACATCTGATAGTAAACGAACGATGAATGAAAGAGAAGTATGTAAGTCTGTGGCAAGTGCCCTCACTGAGTGAGATAAAGAGTCGTGCATGCAAACCATGGTTGGCGGAACAAGATAACCCCCGCCACACACATTCACTGAACGGGGCTCATGACTATCGGGCAGGCGGTGTAATGGGTTGAAAGGCCATTTAAAAGGCCCCTATCGTACACACCTGACGCGTGGGCAAGGTACACTAGCGCCAAGGCCCGTTTATCTATTCTCGAAATATCGTTTTGCCATTTGCCGAGCAGCGTATCTTGCACCTGTGATGGGGGGTGTTGAGTCGATATAAACGTTAGAGGCGAATGAGTTTTAGGGGTTAAATCTAAAACCCCCTAATACCCCTCGGTGTGGAGTTAACCCTGAAACCCTACAACATCTCGGTGTGGAGTTGTAATGAGTGTTAACGGCAAGAGTGCGTGATGTGGAGATGTGTTGGAGCGACGATAAGCGGATGATGACAATGGAATGGGCCAGCGATCAGGCAAAAGGAAAACGAAGCGAGTGCCTACAGAGGGGATATGTACGCAACTGCTGTGAAGACGTTATAAGACAGTGGTGCGGGTGACATTTGGCTCAGAGCATCAGACGTATGAGAGATAGTGTAAGAGAAAAGCTACACGGGTAGAGTGTTTTAGATCAATCAAAGGCAAATAGACATACGTACCTACGTGATAAGCTACAAGGGTAGAATGCATTAGGTCAATCACCGACAAATAGACATACGTAACTATGGGATAAGCTACAAGGGTAGAGTGTACTTGATCAATCAAAGGCAAATAGACATACGTAACTATGTGATAAGCTACAAGGGTAGGATGCATTAGGTCAATCACCAACAAATAGACATACGTAACTACGGGATAAGCTACATGGGTAGAGTGTACTTGATCAATCACCAACAAATAGACTTACATAAGCATGAGAAAAGTTACAATGGCAGAGTGCGTTAGATCAATCACCGGCAATCGGGTCTACAGCTACAGCTACAGACATACCCTCTTGATGACCTTTTCTTTACTAGTGGCTTCCACAACGGGATGTGTAGTGACGTCGAACAGGAAGAAGTTCTGCTTCTCGGTAGTAAGCACGCCCTTCTCCACGAGCGATTTCGATAACCTCTCACGCACATTCCTCAGCTGCACGCACAGGCCCACGGTGCGAGTGACACATGCAGAGGCACAGGGCCGGGGATGGGCAAAGGTGTATGTGTGCATGTGTATATAGGCAGTACGTACTGCAACACTACAGAGAGGAATACGAACCGTTGCTAAGCAACGAACAAGCAACAACAGCGGATCGGCAGAGTGGCGTGTCCATACACAGACCACGTGTGGTGGGAGGTCATCAGATCTATGAGAAGCTCTAGTACACCACTACAGAGACGGGCGAGCGCTGCACAACAGGCTTAGCGACTCATTCGCAAAGTTCGGTACTTTCCACATACACAGGGTCCTCTATACAGCATGCAGCAGACGTCACAACACAGATGCAAGAACCTAGATGATCGCACAACCGGTACATACACCATGTTAAAAGATAACAGCACACACACCATGTTAAAAGATAACAGCACACACGCCATGTTAAAAGATAACAGCAAACACGCCATGTTAAAAGATAGCAACACACACACCATGTTAAAAGATAACAGCACACACACCATGTTAAAAGATGGCGGCAAACACACCATGTTAATAGATGGCGACACACACACCACGTTAAAAGATAGCAGCACACACGCCATGTTAAAAGATAACAGCACACACACCATGTTAAAAGATAGCAGCACACACACCATGTTAAAAGATAGCAGCACACACACCATGTTAAAAGATAGCAGCACACACGCCATGTTAAAAGATAACAGCACACACACCATGTTAAAAGATAGCAGCACACACACCATGTTAAAAGATAGCAGCACACACACACTACACGTACTGATTGACCACACACCTGGTACTTCAGTTTTAAGGGGTTCCACGTCTCTCCTGATAGCAGCTCTACCCAGTATTCCACCGTTTCTTGCTCGCCGTTTACATCCGTGTCTTTGAGATGTCTGTATAGTATAGCAAGAAGTAATACGGATAGTCCCACAGCATGAGGCGGGTGGAGGAGAGAGAGAGAGACACACACCACTCTTTACACAGCGGGCATTTCTGTTGTGAGGTGTGCGTATGATTGCACCAGCGAATAGGACGCATTCTCTGCGCTCCCAGACGGAAGTGTGCGTGTGATAGGTACTTCATGCGTACGATGAGTCAGTTATCGGATTGATTTGTATAAGGCACAGATAGATTTATCCGAATGATCACGTCAAGACAAGGTTGGTACCGTCCGTAGCTCACGTACAGTACAGATACGCATGTCTTCATTGTGCACGGATACCAGAATACCAGGCAAAGGCTACGCATGACGCGTAGGAGTGCATATGGATGCGTATGCAGGGACATGCACGCACCAAACTAATAGAAGTAAACAGCGAACAAGGGCAGAGACATCGGCACTCCATGTGTATGTGAAATCGAGGCAGGCCATCACGTCCATTGACAGCCAAGTAACTCAAACCATACAACTACTAAACTCTAGCCCATTGGCATTACATATTCAAACCATACAACTACTATACTCTAGCCCATAGGCATCACATATTCAAACCCTACAACTACTATACTCTAGCCCATAGGCATCATGTATTCAAACCCTACAACTCCACTACCCTAGGCTACATGCACGACCGATTCGAACCATCAAAACCCTAGCATATATGCACCACCAACTCCAACTACCAAAACCCTAACCCACATGAACCACCAACTCAAACCCTACAACCCAAATACTTAATTCTTATGTACCACCAACTCAAACCATCAAAACCCTAACATAACTGAACCACCAACTCAAACCCTACAACCTTAGTCCACACGTACCATAAACTCGAAACCCTACAATCCAACTATCATAGCCCATATGCACCACCAATTCAAACTCTGCAACCCAAATACCCTAATCCACACGCACCTACCTTAATGTTTCGTCTAGAAGCACATCACCAGTGGGTGTCTCGTCCACCAACACCATCTTACGGTTCAACAGCGCACGTCGGCGATTGCCGGTCTTCTCCAGCTCCGCACGTTTTCGCAACCCAAGCTCAACGATGATGCACCCGCGCAGGCCCGCGGAGATGCAGTCATTCCAGAACGATGTATACCCCTAAGAAAAGAGGAGGTAACAATTGAGTTAGATAGAAATACTACAGGTGGTATGACCTGAGAACCGTATAGGCGTCAGGCAAGCTATAGGGGCACACAACACGCACACTATAAGGAAAAACGCACGTGAAATACAGACAAAACGGGGCGCATCCATATACAAATGTGAATGATAATGTCAATATAGATAGATACATACACACACATACACCCACATATATATATATTTATATAATATACATATTAATAAATATATACACACATATACATACATAGATACATATACAAATACATAAACGCACAGGCACACATATACGCAAACACACCCACACATATATATAAATTTATATGTATACATACATATTTATACGTATACATACATACATATATAAATATATATTTACACGTATACATACATATTTATACATAAAACATATATATATATATATATACATATATATATACATACATACATACATATATATATATATATAAAGACATATATATACATACACACACACACACATATATATATATATAAATATATATATAATTATATACTTACATACATACATATAAATATAAAACTGTATGCATGTAAGTAAATATTAAGATAAGTACTGAATGCACAGATGTATAAATATGTATAAATATAACAAATATGATATGTATATATGTATTCTCAAATATATATCATTTATATAAAATAGAAATCGAAACACATGAATATATATGTATACATATGATACGAACAAGCATATCTTTCTATATAATTTTAGATATATATATATCCATATACGACAAGATAATATACATATCCGTATACACATAGATACTTACATTCACACACACACACACACACAAACAGACACACGCATATATATATATATATACATATACATATATACACATATATACATACATACATACATACATATATATATATATATATATATATATATAGTGATATTGCCGTAGCAGGAGCGGTGAACCAACTTGCTACTACGGGAATATCACACAGCTGCGTTCTCTGGGTTCGATTTCCAAAAGTTTCTGGCTGTCGCAGCGCTACTGAGTTCAATTTTATGAATTCACAATATATCACAATATCGCAATATACCACAATATATCCCAATATAGCATAATATATATATATATATAACACAATATAACACAATATATCACATTATAACACAATATATATATATACATATATATATATATATATACATATACATGTATTTATTATATATATATATATATTAATATATGTATATATATATGTATATGTATATATGTATATGTATATGTATATATATATACATACATATTTAAATATATATATATAAATACATAGATATATATATATATATGTACATATATATATATATCACAATATCACAATATCACAATATCACAATATATATATATATATACATATATAAATATATATTTAAATACATATATATTTGATTTATGGATACAAAAGGATATAAGTGGTTACTAATGATTTATATATATATATGTATACATCACCACATACATCTCCACATACAGTTACCAACACTACCCCATACACACGTATATATACATACATATACATACATACACACACACACAAATATATATATATATATATATAGATTCTATGCACATACTCCTATGCACACACACGCACACACATACACACATACATACACGTGTACACAGTCACAGTCACAGTCACAGACACACACGCATACATATATATATATATATATATATATACATTCATATACGACGACACAGACACAGACACAGACACAGATACATACTTATATATATATATATATATATATATATATATATAGTATATACTATATATATATATATATACGTACGTACCTACACCTACACAACCGAGTACAC